ATGCAACATGATGACTAGATTATAAAGTGTCTAAAACAAACCGATTAGGGAATATGCAATATGTCTCCAATGGACTCATGAACTGGACTTCATGCAGAACTTAAGTGAAAAGTAATAAAAGTTACAACATTAATTTAGTCAATAAAATGTTTGTGTTTCTTACTTCAACCAAGGCTTAACTAGAATAACACAATAATTAAATCAGTCTAGAATTCATTAATAACTGAATCTTTAATCGCTTTTTTTTAGGTTACTTTTAAATGCTAGCTATACTTTAATTGTCTATTATGTTCTTTGCGATTCCTCCTGGGATTTTTATTTGTTTTAGTCTATTTTGCTGTAGAGCACTTTGTGACCAAATGTGTTTTATAATTAAAACACTGTGAGACTGTAGCGAGAGATCAATAAACAAATACACAAATGCTAATTTTCTTTTGCATTATTTGCACATTTTTTAATATATGCTCATCATGACAACATGACATGATGTTGTATGCACATTATGAAACTGCTGGAAAAAAAAAAGTGATCCAGCTGAAAGAGTTCTTTGCTCCGTCCTCTCTCGTGCCTGCTTCTTATGTCAAAAGCAGATGAAACATGACTCCCTGAGTGATTCAGCAGCATGTATGCTAAATGCTGGGGGATGAAAATCTAACCTGTACACATTTAGGCTTCCAGTCCACATCAAGTCACCTTGAGTCATGTAGCTTATTTCCCGTTTTGCAAAAACAAGCAGGTGGATTAGCGTCATTAGTCATGTTCCTTGAACTGATCAAAATAAACAGAGTGACATGCATGGCATGATGAAAAAGGTTAAAGCAGATCTTGCAAAATCATGAATGAAAAAAAAAATTCAAATAGACGGCAGTCTTCTTTCCATTGCATCATCATGAAGAATAGCAGTAATAGTGTTGTATTCCACTTGTGGTCTTTTTATTGGTGTTTAGTCATTACATTAAATTCAGCTACAATACAGTGCCATCAAACTAATGACCAACAACTTCAAAAACAAACCAAAAAAGTCCCTCATACATGAACCAATATTTACTCATGCAAGGTGCCTTTGCTAAAATTAAATTAAACACCAAAACCTCTCTGGAATGTTACATATAATGACCACTTTCACTGCTTTAGATACTGTGACCAAAATAGCAACAAGGTTTTGGGGGGGGTTGACAGATTTCAGTAATTATGTTTTAATGATTGTGATAACTCACACATACAAATACACTGTTATTCTAACATGTATTCTTTTTTCTACACAGTTTATAGAAAGGAAAAAATTCCCATCCACATTTCCCGGTCACTACTACTTTGAACCAACTTCTTTGTTGGTAATGAATAAGTGACTGTGGGCACAGCTTCAGTGTTCACCTAATGACACACTCACACTAACCGGGTGTCTTCAGATATTTACCACCCCAGACTACATCGCCACTAATACTTTCAAACTAAAAACTAGAGTAAAATGTGGATATTATATTAAAAACCTAATTAACCACCTACATGACTGAATTTATGGAGCCAGAAAATGATTAAGGGCCAAACATTTTGTAAGTGTTAGTAGTGTTTCTATTAAGATGATGATGGTTTCTCTTCTCTAATTGACTTTTTTTTTTTTTTATCTTTTTCAGCGATCTGTGTTGATGGGAAGACATTTCAAAGTAGGGCATTTGCAGGGCAAGTTCTCGCATTACTATTTGTTGGAGCAAGTAATGCTGAACATTCATTTAGCAGTTCTACAAATCAGTTAGCTACTTTGTCAAGCAAACTATCGCAAATGTAACTGCATGGTTCTTTTATTGTGGCCAAAGGAAATCCCCAACACATTCATGATGTAGGCTTTGTAAGAGTGTATGTTAAGGTCACCTAGCAAGCTGGCACAGAGGGCAGTCATTGCACTGTGGAAACATTCACATTATTTTACAACCGAGCAGCTCCACTTCAAATCTGAGGAAGTTTGTGCACGTTAAGAGCAGATACACAGCATGGGTGTTGAAGAGGAGAATGATGCTGGTACCACAGCTATCTTTTAGATGTTTAAAGATGTCGCTCAGGGGAAAAACACGTTTTGCTCGTTTTTTTTATGTGGTGGAAGAAATTCTACTAGCGTGTATGCAATGAGGTCAGTGTGCTCAGAGGTAAATGTAGCTACAGCTGGCTACACAGGAAAAAAAATAACCAACATGTACAAGCTAAACTGATTTTCTCTAATACCTACCTCTCACTGTAGGTGACATTGTAATATAAAACATTATTTCTAAATGCTCCAATTATCAAGTGACTATTAAAAGTAACTTTGGGAGTGTGACTAGTCTCTAGTCTGCTGTAATAGTGGGTGAGAAATGCACTACTCGCGATATGACATGAACTGCTGATAAAGAAAATGCATTCTTAACCTGCTGTGGGCCTGCAGCCCTCACTTTGACAGCCCGGGGAAAAACATGTTGTCTTCTGTTACTCACATTGCCAACTCTTTGCTTGGGTCGTGAACTCTTAACAATGACAGAGGAGAGTCAGGCACCTGGGAATTGTGCTTACATGACATTTAACCCAAGTTTCACAGGAATGACTCTTTTAGGTGTTTTTGACTCATTTATCCCCCACACTTTAAATCTACGTAATCACGTATATGTGAGCATTCAGGTGTTATTCTGCGTTTTGCGTCATTTGGTTTTGTACGTAAATGAGACAAAAAGTGGGTTAAAACTGTGGAGTATTTCAGACATCAGGGATCAGGTAAAATAGAGCACTGGGGCTGCGCAACCCTTTGTGTTGGGGGAACTTTTGATTCAGTTAAACTGCTAAAACAAGAACCTTTCACACCCAAACAATGGACTCCCTTCTTAAACGTAACACTTGACAAATGAGGAGCAAATTGTACATCTGTGTGTGTGTGTGTGTGTGTGTGTGTGTGTGTGTGTGTGTGTGTGTGTGTGTGTGTGTGTGTGTGTGTGTGTGTGTGTGTGT